TGGAATCCTCTTAAGTGATGAACATTTGGGTCCAAAGGCAGATATCCGAAAAGGAGTCCCCTATTCAGTTCACTGACTGTCCCCTCCCCCCGACCCTTTGAAAAAAAAATTCTCATCTAATCCTTTCTCGAGTTCCCCAATCACCACAGAGGACTTAAAGCCATAAGAACATTTTGTAATCCCAGCTTTCTGAAACCTAACAGAGAGATTTTGTCATCTGAAAACAAGGGAGAGATTAAGTACAAATTTTGATTCTGACAGTGGCAGAAAGGAGCCAGCTTGACAGGAAACGTCACGAGAATTAATCCGAGCACCGCTGTCCACCTTTTTCATGACTCTGAACATGATGTAAGGTCTGGTCAGGATGAAAGAGTTTTTAAAGGAGTTTGCTACAGGGACATGACATCATCAGACTGAGGCATTTTAAATGAGAGATGTGTGTACATTTTAAAAAATTTGCCCTTAATCCTGCCTTACTTCTCTGAATGCATGCTGTTAGAAATGAAACACCAAGACAGCTAAACACACTGTTCTCTCTAGACTAATGTGGTCCCAGACCCATCTTCTCTTTTTAACTGTCCTTTTGTCTTTCCAGCACTCCACAACAGCTCTTCTTTTGTATAACTTTCATTAAGGGTTAGGCAGTCAAATAACACAACAACATATAATTAGTTAATAACTGCAATGTGTATAACATTTAAAGGCAAGTGAGAGGCTTTATGTGACAATGCTTTAAAAGCTATAAAAATATGTATAATCCAAAAGGACTATTTAAAAAGTTATTTCTACGTGGCAGGATACTTTGCAGTAACTATACTCCCATTCTTGGCAAAAAACCAGAGAGGCAAGCCATTCTTATTTTCTACATCCAGAACTTCCTATGTCTTAACAGTGAAATTTCTGAAACATTTCCTGAATTTGACCCAGAGTCTACTTTTAGTCCTTATTACCTCCCCATCAGACTTACAATCCATAAAGAAAGGCACAGTGTTCCCTTAATTACTGCTCTGTTTCCAATGCCTAGCACGTGGTGGGGACTTGAGCATTTGTGTTAAAGAAGTGGACCTAATTTCCTGGTTGTTCCTGCCTTCAGTGTCCTTTCAGTCCATTCCACAATGCATCATCATTTTTTCAAAAACACAGTTTTGCTCATGTCCTGTATGCATGCATAAAACCGTCAAGGCATCTGTCTTGTCTGTAGAATAAAGGACAGATTCTTGACTATATCATATTCCAGAGCCTTCACAGTTTGGTCCAATCACCTTTCCAAGTCTTCCAGCCCTTACCCCTCCTCCCCACAAACCATAGATAGTTCCCAAACTCCCTCTGCAGGTTCACACTCCCAAGCCTTTACAGAAGCTGTCCCCCTTCCTTGGAATGACCTTCCTTTTATCTTCCTTATTCACCTGGTGGAATTTCACTTCTTCAAAATGCAGCTCAAATGTCACCTTCTCTGATGCTTCTCCAGCTCCCTTAAGGGTTCTGCTTGGTACGCCCACATAATCTAGCTTGTCCTGCCCTTATTGCACACTTCCCATGATATTATAGCAGGGTTTATCCTCTTTTTTGTTTTTGCTTTTTCGTGTGTGCAAATTCCTGGAGAGCAGGAACTGAAGCTTATTGTGATTCTTTACGAATCTCCTGACGCTGACCGCCCCTTCCTGCCTCCCCCATTTTCGGCCTAGTCCAAGCCACCCTCCTCCCTCACCTGCTCCGTGCGACAGCGCCTGGCTGTCTCCACGCTGCCGCGTCTCCATCCGGGCGACAGACCTGCTGTGAAGCCACCAGTGCTCCCCGAATGACGTAAACAACCAGGTGCCTTGCCTCTACCACAAACCTGCTAGTGGTTTTCCTTGATACTTAAAAAACTCCCAAAGCCCTGGACTCTCTGACCCCTACCTTCCTCTCCAGTTTCATCTCTATCGCTCTCCCACTTTTCACCCCAGCCCCACTTGTCTCTGCTTCTCCAGGAATGTGCCATATCATCCCCTCTTTGGGACTTTCTTTCTTTCTTTCTTTTTTACTTTTTGGCCACATGACGAGGCATGTAAGATCTTAGTTCTCTGACCAGGGATCAAACTCTCACCCCTGCATTGGAAGCTTGAATCTTAACCATTGGACCACCAGGGAAGTCCGACTTTTGACCTGTCTCCTCTCTGCCGGAAAAGTGCCGGCTCTGGATATATGCCTGGCTTGCTCCCTTACTTCATTGCGATCTCTGCTCAAACATCCCCTCCTTAGAAAGGGCCTTCCTAACTACAGTCTAAGGTAACACCCTCCATTAAGTCTTCCTCTCCTACCTGCTTTATATCTCTTCACTGCACTAAATGCCACCAGTTGGTCACCATTAATTATCTGTGCATCTCCAGTTGTCCATCTGTTGCTAGGGATACAGAGTTTTTGTTTACCACCATGTCCCTGGTACCTAACATGGTGCCTGGCAAACAGCAGGCACTCAAGAGTTTGTGGAATGAGTGGATGAATCTTTATATCCCAGGTGACTAACACAGCACCTGGTTCTAGAAGGATCTGTCAAGTGAATGTCCAAAATTAACAAATTTCACAAATGAAATGGCATCTTGGCCTATATCCAGGATAATCTAGGATCTGAGGGCAAGTGTTTCATCCATTTGTCCCATGAACATAATCTTGATTTGTTTTATTTAAGATCATAAGTGATGTAACCAGATTCTTCACTTTTTCAGAAACTGGTCGCTGACAGAGGTCTTGCCCAAGAATATTGAGGGAATTTCAGAAAGCTCATCAAGAGGGGGCACAGTGGGGATTTAGAATACCCTTCAGCCCACTGCTTTCAGAAGACCCAGAGGGATTCAGATAAGGTACTTTATGTCCTGTGATTTATCCAGAATGGACATTGGTTGTTAATCCTGCCCAGCGCTGATTACTCTGAGGCTGGAACAGGTAAGACGCTGCTGACCTGGGACTCTGAGAGAGGGCGCACGGCAATGAAGCATCCCAGCCTGCCGCAGATTTTGTGCTCCAGGACCCCGGTGGCTTCGATGTGACACCTCAGGCCCTCAGAGCAGGTGAAAGTGCTAGCCGCTCAGTCATGTCCGACTGCCACCCCGCGGACTGTGGCCCGCCGGGTTCCTCTGTCAGTGGGATTGGCTGCGGGGAACAATTTGCTGGAGAACAAGAGAAATTTCCCTTCTTCACTTTGGCCTCTGGGCAGCTGTTTTTCCCATCCTGTTTCTGTTAAATCCTTGCGTATGGAATGAGATGTTTGCATAGGCAGACAGTACAGAGAGCGGTGAACCCTCGGCAGGAGTGAAGTGTAGCTTTTTGGCAATCTGTCCATCTAGCCTTCCGTGGAGTCAAAGCTGTGATCAGACTTGCCCTGTTCTGCATGGATGGGTTTCCCCGGTGGCTCAGCTGGTAGAGAATCCACCTGTAATGTGGGAGACCTGGGTTCGCTCCTTGGGTTGGGAAGATCCCCTGGAGAAGGGGAAAGACTACCTGCTCTAGTATTCCTGGGCTTCCATTGTGGCTCAGCTGGTAAAGAATCTGCCTGTAATGTGGGACACCTGGGTTTGATCCCTGGGTTGGGAAGATCCCCTGGAGAAGGGAAAGGCTACCCACTCCAGTATTCCAGCTTAGAGAATTCCATGGACTGTATAGGCCATGGGGGTCGCAAAGAGTTGGACCCGCCTGAGTGACTTTCACACTTTCCTGCATGGATGGCATCATCCGTGTGATTTGGAGAGGCCAGAACAGGGAGAGCCTGAGGTCCACACCCCATCCTTCCAAGTCTCTGGTATGCCGTTGCTAAACAAGGTGGGGGATGGGGCCTTAGAAGGTGCAGAGGGAAGGAAACTTCCTGAACTGCACTTGCGGCCCTGCTGTGAACACTGGGCTAGGCCTTTTATGTGATACTGTTGTTGCAGGAAGGGGGACCCCTTCCAGGGCCCGAAACTGGGCTCTTGTCTAACACTCGGAAATGAATTGTCCGAGGAGACACATGGGCTGACAAAGCAAGAGATTTTATTGGGAAAAGGCACCCGGGTGGGGAGCAGGAGGGTAAGGGAACCCAGGAGAACTGCTCTGCCACCTGGCTCGCAGTCTCGGGTTTTATGGTGATGGGATTAGTTCATCAGATGTTACCTAGAAGTTGGTTATGATTACTACCGCCATTTTACAGAACAGGAAAACAAGGTTCAGAGAGGCTGATGACACTTGCTCAAGATACCCAGATGGTAAGTGGCAGAGCTGGGGTCTGAGATTCAAACCAGGTCTATGGGACTTCCTGCCTGCCTACCAAGAACAGAAATTTATTTACCATCTAGAAGGGCAAGAGGGCGGGAGGGGGACAAGAGCTGGAGGGGCAGCAGATGGGTCCTACCTGAGACTTGAGCATCACCAGACCCTGCAAAGTCCAGGTTATGCGGGTGCCACCTGGCTTCTCTTCGGTTCTGAGAACTGTCAGCCTGGTCCCATTCCAGGGTACTGGGAATGGGTGAAGCCCCCATACAGGGGAGCCTTTCCTTCCAGCAGTGTCCTTCCACGCCATTCTGGCTCCGGGGTTCGGGGTGGCGGTGTCAAACACAGCCTGCCTTCACCCTCCTTGCGTCTCGAGTTTACTTCCTGCACTTCTCTCCTCATCTTTTCGAAAGTTGTACCCCCTGGACAGTGCACCCCGCCAGCATTTCTGGAGGTTCCGGCGGTTGTGGGTCATTTGGGAACCTCCGGGCGTGCTCCCGGGCACCGCCGGCGCCACCAAGGTCTGGGCGTCTTTGGGGCCTTTCGCCGAGCCCCTTCCCTCGCGCTCGCGGCTCCGCGCCGCAGCGCCCCCTCCGCCGCCAGGGGCCGCCCGGAAGCGGGGCTCCTCGAGCGCGGGGCGGGGCAAGGGGCGGGGCGCGGCGGTACCTGGGCCGCCGGGGAGCCGGGGGTGGACTCTTCGGGGACAGCCGGCGGCCCCCCCAGATTCGCACCGCCAGCCGCCGGGAAGCTCGGGGCTCCGGGCGTAGAGGCTGCGCTGTCACATGGGCGGCGGCGACGGGGCCGCATTTAAGCGGCCGGGGGACGGCGCCCGCCTCCAGCGCGTCCTCGGGCTCGGCTCCCGCCGGGCGCCCCGCTCTCTGCCCGCCGGGGGCCCAGCGCCGCGCCGCACCGCGCCGCCCCCGCCGGGCCATGAGAGCGCGGGCCCCGCCGCGATGAGCTCGCACATCGCCAAAAGCGAGTCCAAGACGTCTCTGCTGAAGGCGGCGGCGGCGGCGGCGAGCGGGGGCAGCCGGGCTCCCCGCCACGGCCCTGCCCGGGAGCCAGTGCTGCCCAGTCGCCGGCTGCCCGGCCCCTGCCCTGGCACGCCGTCGCCGTCAGGGGACCCCAGTTCGCGGAGGCCCCTGTGCCGGCCGGCGCCGCGAGAGGAGGGCGCGCGGGGGAGCCGGCGCGGGCTCCCCCAGGCTCACTGCAGGCCCCGGGAGGCGCCGCCGGCCGCGGCGTCCCGACCTTCGCCGCCGTCGCCGCTGCCGCCGGCCCGCGGGCGGGATGGGGAGGAGCGGGGTCTGTCCCCGGCGCTCGGCCTCCGGGGCTCACTGCGAGCCCCGGGTCGCGGGGACTCCGCTCCAGCCGCCGCGTCCGAGGCAGACCCGTTCCTCCACCAGCTGCGCCCCATGCTCAGCTCCGCCTTCGGCCAGGTAAGGGCCGCGCCTCCCACCCGCTCCCTGGAGAGGCGCTCGGGACCCTGCCGCGGCTGCGCGCCTTCAGCCCTCCTCCCGCTGCCCGCGGCCCCCCAGGTCACACTCCTCTGGTCCTCCCGCTGCCTGGCGCCCTAGTCCGCGCGCCTCCTCCTCCCCCGTGCCTGATTCAGCACCCTGTGCGCTGTCCACGCTCCGGGCCTTTTCCGGGCCAGGCACCACCGCTTAGACTCCCTCCACCTGCCAGAACGGGCCAGTCTTGGAAGGGAGCGACCTCCACAAACCGCCTGGAAATTTGCAGGGATCAAGGAGGGGTGCTCCGAGCAGGTGGCGCCAAACCCACTCTTTCGGCCTCTGACCGAGAAGATCAATGAATGAGCATGGAGTCTGGGGGTCAAGAGAGGGGACTTTGGGTTATACTGCCTTGTCAGGCGATGAGGGACCCTAGCCATCGCCTGTGATGGCCCCAAAGGCCTGGGAAAAGTTAGGAGAGCTAAAAATATGAGAAAAGAGGAGTGTGTGGGTAGACACGGAGGGCTGTAAGAGCTATGGCTCAAACTGGAACTTTGAGGGTATTTCAAGGAGGTTATCATCTAGGAATGCCACGAGGATGGCAGTGGTCAGTCTTCGAGTTGTGGGGCGTGGAAGAACATCCAGAGATCCCTAGTCTGAGTTAGTGTGCATTCTAGGGTCAGAAAGGTCGTAAGGGGTCACGAATGGCTCATTTTGTTTCTTTCTCTCAAGAGCCCCAAGCAGCTGGGCACCTGCCCTTTACAAATGGCCCCGTAGTCATAATCCAGATCTACAGTTTGATGCCGTGCTGCTGGGGAGAGAGGCTCAGCAGAAAGTGACCTGTAAACTCCTGAACGAAGCCAGGATTTCATCTAGTTCCAAGTCCATAATTAAGTCGAACTCATTGGCACAGTGTGGACACCGTTCTGCGACAGCCGAGGAGGGGTGTAATGCATAGATGTGATCAGAGTATTTGCATGGTGTGTGGGGGATGGAGGGTGGGGGCGGGCCTGTGCGTTTCTGTGCTGGGATGTAGGGTAAAGAAGCTGTTTCAAGCTCCTGGCTTGCCAGGCTGGATCAGAACTCCAAGGAGGCCGTGTGTGTTTTGCTTCAGATGTGCACAGTTCCTTTTCAAAATACTACTCCACTGCGGCTGATGCCGGTGGAGGTCTGACATGAAGGCGGCTGCACGTAGGCTCGGGTTGCATGGGGCTGCGGTGGTGGTGTGATAGGGCAGCAGTCTGGCTTTGTTCCTGCCGGGAGCTCTCATTAGTTGAGGCAGTTGGAAACAGTTTCTCCAGAGTAGAGATGTGGATGCAGAGCTGTGACAGTGCAGCGCTGTGTTGACTGTGGTGGCTTTTGTATGACTGAGGGGGTGTCAGGTGTTAGGGCAGGAGTGGGCTGGCTTGCGAAAGGGATACCGTGCCAGTTGAATCGATGACAACTATCGGTTGCATTTATCAAATTTTTTTGATCGCCTGCTTTGTCCAGGCGTTTGCTGGGCACTATGGAGATGAAAGTAGAGAGGGTAGCGGGGTCCTGACTGTTTTGGAGATTAGCAGTCTAGAAGTTTGGAAGGGTAGGTCATTGAGGATCACACACTTTCTGGTTATTTAGTTTGCCAGTGATCCGACTTCGTTCCTAGAAAAGGAGCCCTTTCTTTCCAGCCTTGCAGAATTTGCCTGCCTGGGCCCTTTGTGAGCACAGAGCATTTCAGCTCACGTGCTTCTCTTTCTTCTACTTTTTCAGTCATGAGATGAAGGCTGTTCTCCAGTCCAGTGTTCTGAAATGTCACCAGGGTCACCTGAGTCAGGAGGAGCTGGAAGGTCCCATCAAATATTTACTACCTTCCCCTGGAAGCTCTTGCCTTTGGAACTGCCGACTTTCTCTTTAAAGCTGGGCACATCTAGTCTGGGCTTCCTGCTGATGGCTCTAAGACATCTGCTCCAACGACAGGGACAACAACAAAACCTGGCCTGGGACTTTGTGTCAGAGTCTCCAGTCTCCTGCAAGAACTAGTCTTTCTGTCCCTTCTCTCCGCATGGAGATTTCTGTCCTTAGGTCAGAACCAAGAGAGGGGGAATGAGGTTCTGAATATAGAAACTTTCAGATAGGCTCTGCTTTGGGCAAAGTATAGCCCTGGGGAAATATATTTTTCATGTCTCCCAAGTTCTTTTCTTTTTTTTTTTAACCTTTGGTGAATCGCTTAATCTTGTAAACCTGTGTTTCCTTATCTGCATATTTGTGATAATCATAGTATCTCAGGTGGTGCAGTGGTAAAGAACCTGCCTGCCAATGCAGGAGACTTGGGTTCAATCTCTGGGGCAGGAAGATCCCCTGGAGAAGGAAATGACAACCTACTCCAGTATTCTTGCCTGGAAAATTCCATGAACAGAGGAGTCTGGCAGGTTACAATCCATAGGGTTCCAAAGAGTCAGACATGACTGAGCGCGCGCACACACACACACACACACACAGAGTATCTCAATGGGTTTGGGGGGGATTAAAGGGGATGTGAAGATATACACAGAGCTTGACCTATAGCAAGGGTCTGTGGATGTTATTATTATTGTTGTTGTTGTTGCTTCACTACCAAGGGCTGTCAGAACTTGTTTCCATTTGTAACAGAGTCAGGGAGGGCCAGGGGCCAAAGCGACACTGAGGGTATCAAGATAGACTCCCTCACTAGGGAACGGGAATTAGGGTTCTCCCAGTGACCTCACAGAGCATCCTTACGGCCTGCAGGGAGAGCGTGTGCTTTTGAGGCTAAGGCATGGAATGGTGGGTTGGGAGATAGAGCTGAAGATTCCTACTCCAGCAATGTCACTTCCCATTGCTGTGACCTTGGGCCTGTTATTTTCTCTCTCTGGTCTGGGTTTCTTCATCCAGAAATAAGACTAATAACAACAACAAAAAAACTACCTCGCAGAACTCTTATGAGGGTTATACAAGGTTAAGGATGCCAAATGGCCTGGCTCAGAGTGGGTGCTAGAAAAGGGTTCAGGCTTCATTCATGTTATTGTTATTATTATTATTATTAATAGAGTGATTGTCAAAATGAGGGCCTGCATAAGGTAGTCTGAAAGCTGTCTCTGAGCTAAGTGAGGAAGGCCACTAAAGGAAGGAGCTGAATGACCAAGGACCTTCCCTGGTATCCTCTTTGTGGCCGGCTAATAGCACACCACCCAACTACCTAGAGAGAAGATGTGGTATCAGAAAGCAACTCAAAACAGACAACTCTTGGCATTGGATCTTGGAAAACTAATTAAAAATTCTTTTTGGCTGTGCAGGATGTGAGATTTTAGTTTCCTCACCAGGGATTGAACCTGCACCCCCTGAAATAGGAAGCACACAGTCTTAACCACTGAACCATCAGGGAAGTCCAGAAAACTGCCCAAAGAACAGTCTTTCTGTTCCTTATTCTAAGTTTGGGAAGAAACACCTCTTTAGAGGAGGCAACTATGAATAAAATCCATAGCTCTGTTCCATCCTTCCCCTTTCTCTAACTATAGGGACATCTCTTTTGATTTGAGTAGGCCAGCCCAATTCCTAAATTGCTTTGTGCATAACAGGATTGAGATATTTAATGTATGAATGAATGAATGATGGGTATCTCCAGCCTCTGGACTTCAGAGTTTCTTAGTTCCCATAGTTAAGATGAGGGAGACAGGCCATGACAATTTGGGTCCTAACAGATTCAACTGCACTAGGCCTGTGTGCCTAGGATGATGGCTTGGGTGTATTACTTACTCCTTCCTGGTCAGGTCGCTTCCTACTGCTCTCTTAAAAAGCTGGGAGCCCCTGTGGCCTTTCTCTGGGGCTTGGGAAAGGGGAAGAGAAGGCCTGTTTGTGGTTGACATAGATTATAGATGATAGGAGTGTCTTGGTGTCAGTTTGTAGGTTTTGCAGAAGCAACATTGGCACTTTAGATCTCTGTCTAGAATCCAGTAAACAATGGACAAAGCATCTTCTCATTATCTTATCTCCATAGCAAACTGTGAAACTTAGCATCATCTTCCCCCATTTTAGAGATGAAGAGACAGGCTCAAGAGAGGGGAAGTAGCTTGACCAAAGGTCCCAGAATAAGTAAAAGGCAGGACTGTGACGTGCTATGTCTCTCTCCAAACAGTCTGCCAGTGCCACACCATACCGGCTGGTAGAAAGTCACAGAAGTGTGTTTCCTATTTGTCAGAAGCATCCACAAAGCACCTCTCAGGTTACGACCCAGCTTTCCCCAAGTGTCTTAACACTGGGCTGCCATCCAAGTTCAAATGCTGGCGTTAGGACTGCTCAGGGCCCAAAGCCAGCCTCCCTCCTAATCAGGAATAATCAGCAACGGGTTTATCCTTCTCATCCCTCTGATCCTATTATCCCATTCCAGAACTCTAAGTGTGGATTCTGAAGGCCCAGGCCTGCTGCCACAGTGCATAGGGATGGGGAGGCGGGGCCGTGCGATGTGCTTTGCTTCTTAAGGAAGCCTCCACCGTTCAGCCCTTTATAAAATTTTCTGCCGAAGGTCAAGCCATCTGCTTCGTCAAGATCAGTAGCTACTCCTGTCATGCAGAACCACCATCACCCCATCTGTCCAACCTAAAATAAGCTTAAGCGAGCTCTGGGTTTGAATCCTGAGTCCCTTGCTTCCGTTAAGCCCCCAGGCTACTGTTGGCACCCTCTCTGCTAAAGAAGGATGGAATTTCTTCAAAGTAGGTGGACTTTTCCATAGGGGGAAAAGTCCTGTCTCCTGTCTCCAAGGACAGGGGCATATCCCAATGTTGACAAATGGGTGCTGTGCCATAGGCTGGCCTGCAGGGGGCAGGAGTCGCCAGGTCTGACCTAGTGGGGGCCCTGCTAGACCAAGGCCGCTGGGCAAGATAAGGGGCACCTTCCAGGTGCTTGGCACTGTGCCAAGCCCTTTGCAGACATGATCTCATTAACTCATCATAAGCCCTACCAGGGAAGGGTATGAGGGTACCTGTTTTATAAATAAA